AGGTTGAATTTGAGTTGAATAAACCGTTATTACAAAGGATTGCTTTTACTGATGGAAATTCCACTATTTCCATGATTGAGTATTTTCGATAACATTTCGTCTAATTTATTTTACCAATCAGAGTTATAGAAAAGTTGTTTTCGAAATCATCAAAACCTAAATGAGACATATTTTCCAGTTTTCTTTCTCGTCTTGTTTCTACATTATTGAATCGAAAATCCCGTTTTCCCATCTCAAACGTCATATCAAATTTTGGTTTTTGATGAGTCATTTATCGAAGAATAGTTCACAAATTGTAACGATGTAATTAGCTTGGATGTTAAGTTTGCTTAAATTGTTTTTAATTATTTTTACAACTAGTCACTGTCACTAAGAAAACTTAAAATATTCCTGTTATTGTTTTAAAGAGGAGCCATCTCCCATCGGGCCATCGGATAATCAAGTTATATACATTTTTAATAGCGTCATCATTGATTTATTACTTATTATCAACTTTGATAAACAAATCATTATATATAACAACTATGGAGCAATCATTGGCGGATGCTGTTTGATTTCTTTTGTTAAAGGAACTAGATTTTTTACGCGCACGTTATCCGGATTTATTTATTAATTTTATTAAAGTTATATATATATTATATTAATTAATATTATTATATATATATTATATTAATTAATATTATTGTTTAATAATATTAATTAATATTATTATATGTTATATTTATCTTTTATTTTTCTAATGTTTTTGTTGTCCTAATATATATATATATATCTATATTGTAAAATTATTTTTCTACTATAGATTATCATGTATTAATTATTATATTCTTACTGTTTATCTGTATTCAATTAATTTCTCATCTTTTTCTACATCTTTTTTTCATAGATCAACAAAGTGAAATCATCATCAATCTTTCTCCACTCTAAACTAAATGTTCCTTTAATTTTTTTATGGAATCTACCTCATTTTGAAGCACAATTAGTCCTTTATTTTTTCTCCTTTCTTATAGCTCTTAGTCTCCTTATCCTGATTGCAATCTACTGATTTTTTTATCTTATTTCATGCAAGCTTCCATCTCATTCAGTTTTGTGATCGGTTATAACTCTAAATGAGGAGAATTTTAGTTAGAGTTGGCTAGACAGAGCAAAAGATCTGTTCAAATACTACATATCTTTGATGGGGTTTTATATCAAAAAATCATGCATAGTTGATAAATTGTTGATTTTAATTGATTTGAGGCTTTTTTTTTCAATAATGAACTACCTGACTATATTTGTGAATGTGTGAGAATATTTTTGTCTATTTTCATACAATGTGAATGTAAACAACATGACTATCTTAAAAAATATAATCAATAATCCTGTTTTAGTTTATTTATATATATATGAAATTAAAACTCATATATTATCCGGTTGATGAGTAATGTGATTGCATATCAATTTTATATTACCATCATTAAGAAAAATGGTTGATAAGTATTTGCCATTTTTTCCTCTTAGTATAAATCAAATTTATTTCTATGCTATATTATTACACACTTTATTTTTCTTTATTTATGAAAAAGTTTCATTCATTTTATACAATAAAGTGGATATGGATGATTTTACTTTAGTTTTAAGCATTAATATTTGAGAGCATTTTTAAATAAGTTTGATAACTATTCTCAGCAAATGCTTCTGTCATATTTCGTAATTGTTCATTTTTCAACTCTTTTTTTCAAATTATGTTTGTTTATATTCGAAATAACTTAATGAATTTTATTTCAAAAAGAATTTGTAGTTTTTATAGTTTATAAAATAGGTATTTGTTTAATATATATGATTTTACTTTAGCTTTATATATAAATCTTTCTAATGTTTTTTTATAAAGTTTGATAATTATTTTATGTAAGTTTTTCAAATAAATCCTTCCAAACTCCTTTTCACAAATGGAGAATTTGTAATTTTTATGATTTGTAAAATAAGTATTTATTTTTTTCAAATTAATCATATTAAATACCCAAAAATAAATATCCAAAATATAAAAACTTTAAAACAAAACTCAAAATATTTAAAAGCCCATTTTAAAATAAAAATTATGCTGATGTGGACACCTTAGATGGAGAAATAAAGTTTCATTCATTTTATACAATAAAGTGGATAAGAATGATTTTACTTAGTTTTAAACATTAATATTTCAGAGTATTTTTAAATAAGTTTGATAACTATTCTCAGCAAATGCTTCTGTCATATTTCGTAATTGTTCATTTTCCAACTCTTTTTGCAAATTATGTTTGTTTATATTCGAAATAACTTTTTGAATTTTTTATTTCAAAAAGAATTTGTAGTTTTTAAAATAAGTATTTGTTTAATATATATGATTTTACTTAGCTTTATATATAAATCTTTCTATGGTTTTTTTATAAAGTTTGACAATTATTTGCTGTAAGTTTTTCGAATAAATCCCTCCAAACTCATTTTCACAAATAGAAAATTTGTAATTTTTATTATTTGTAAAATAAGTATTTGTTTTTTTAAATTAATCATATTAAATATCCAAAAATAAATACCCAAAATATAAAAACTTTAAAACAAAATCCAAAATATTTAAAAGCCCATTTTAAAATAAAAATTATGCTGATGTGGACACCTTAGATGGATAGATAAATTGCTGATTATTATATGATTATTGAAAAAGTAATAATCACACAAAGACTTTGCGTAAATTAGGCCCAACCAAATAATTTAATTTAGGAGAAAAAACAATTTTTTGAGCTTTATTGTTGAATTAATTGTTAACATGTGGTACAAACATATTGTACAAATGTCGATAATCAAAAAAATAGGGAAATGTTTTTATTGTTTATTCATTGTTTATCTGAATTATATACTGTTTGAAAATAAATTAGAAATGTTTTTGTTATTTATTCATTATTTATCTGAATTATATATTACTAGATTATGATCCATGTATACACTGGTTTAGAAATTGTTATAACATTTGTGAATATAAATTGATTACAAAAATAAATAGCTTTAATTATATTTATTTCTGTACTCATATTTCAACTTTTTGTTAGTTAAAATGATTATTACACATGATAAATTTTGATTTATTGACTCACATATATTTCAATAATTTTAACTTAGATTGTGATCTCTATATACATTGATTTATATTAACTACTCCAATATAACCTGTTAAAAAGAAACTGAACATAAAAAAGTAAAAACGAAATTAGATCATTGTGAACATTAGAAATTAAGATTGAGAATATTTTCGTAAAGCCACTTATAATTGAAATGATGCTTTCTCCTTCGTTCCATATAATTTTATATTTTTTACAAATATGACTAACATAAAAAAGTAAAAAAAAAATTAGAACACAGTGAATATTAAAAAAATAAGATTGAGAATATTTTCGCAAAACCACTATAATATAATGTTTAAAGAAACTGGTTTTATCCTATTTTAAACCACTTTGATGCATCAAAAAACACGGAGTCCGTTGCTGATTATTAGCAATAGTAACCTTACTTTACTTGTAGTTCTAACACTTTATCAACTATTTCTTTCTGTTTTGCTGCATTAAAACATTGGATATACAATTTGAGTCCTTTGATTATATTGTTTGGCGAAAAATTATGACAGATTTCCTGTGTTTATATAGATGTGGTTGCATTTTTCTTTTTCTTTTAAGATTATTATTTTAGTTTTTTTTTTCATTTTCCAAAGAGGAAATTCCTCTTTATAACCTAAAAGTTGATTTTTTCTCAACATGTAGACCCCTTATTGAATGTTTGGCAAAACTAATCCAAAAGGGTAGTGAAATTACAGCTCAGTCCTTTGTGACTAAACAAAAAACATCTGTCACAGTTACGATTTTATCCTTCGGGAAGTCTACATAATCGTAGACTTCTAAAGAAGTCTATTTTTGTAGACTATTAATGAAGTCTACGTAAGTAGACTTCAAAAGAAGTCTACTTTATAATTAGTTTTTTAAAAATTGATTAGAAAATATAGAATAAATAAATTTATAAAAAAATGGTAAACATAAGTAAGACATATATATTTGACATGTATAGAATACAAAATTTTATACAAATGAATCAATTTAAATGCAGAAGGAAAGTAACTAGAAAACATACAACCCCTTAGAAGTCTACAAATGAAATCTACTACATAATTAAATCTTAAATTTTTTTACTAAAATTATAAAAAATATTATGATATAAATATTATAAACATAACGAAAACATAGAAAATTGGCATCTATATTAAATAAATTTTCATGAAAATAAACCAATTTATAAGTTTCATAAGTATAAGGTTGAAAAGGGCTCAGGTTTGAAGTTCAAAAGGGTTAGGGTTTGAAGTTCAAAAGGGTTAGGGTAGGTGTAAAGTTTAGGGTATTGTTAGGATAAACCCAAATTGTATATGTATCAGAGTTTATGATTTGGTTAATGATTTAGGGTCCATATCATTATTATTTTATATTTAAAATGTGAAATGCTAAGAAAATTAATGTTTAGGGTTATGGTAACAAAAGTGAAATATATGATTTAGGGTTTCTGGTTGAATGTAGACTTCATTAGCAGACTTCATTGGTAGACGTTAAAAGAAGTCTGCTATTCAAAATTAAGCAACCATTCTTTTTAATTAGGTCAGAACTGAAATTTTTTAAACTGAACCGGAGACTTTACATTTATATATAATCAGAGTTTAACCTAATTTTGTTAAAAATAAAATATATCTCTCTCTCTAAAACGATGCCTCCCTCTCCTCTCTCTTCTCTCTCGCCGTGAACCTCATCTTTTTCCTCTCTCGCCGTCAATCTAATCTCCCTCATCTCTCTCTCTCGCCATCAACCTCCTCTCCCTTTCCATTTGTGCTAGTAGTAAGCCGTTCGTCTAATTTATTATTTTGCTGTGTTCATATTTTTCTGTCACTGGATCTTCATCTGGTCTTCATATCGAGTTTATAATTTGAGTTTCAACATTTCCCTTTAACTTTATTGCAGATCTGGGTCCATATTCGAACATAGGAATGGGGCGATACAGCTATAGTCAACCTTCAAGTAGTTCTAGAAGGTTGTGGAGTAACGGAGAAGCAGAAGTGAGCCCTACTCCTTTGTGTCGATCTATGAGTTTTGGAATTCCTAACAGATGCTACTGCGGTTTGCTTATCGTGATGAGACCAATGGACAATGCAGACTAATATCCTGGTAGGATGTTCTTTGGATGCAAGGATTATAAGGTAAACAGACTGTTTTAGTGTTTATGTTTTGTAACAAAAAAATTTTCATACGAAAAAAAAATGTACGTATTATGTTGTTCTTGTATAGTTTGGTCCCTGATATATCATGGTTTTTATGGTTTTTAACCATGATATAAGTTCTTTTTATTGAGTCTTTTTGGTCTTTTTAGAGTCCTAGAAGAGTTTTTGCAGGTTATAGCATGTCTGGAGCATAATTGGAGATTTTGGAACCTTTTGGAACATTCTGAGTGGAAGCCACGAAGTACCAAGCTCGAAGAGGAAAGTATGCATATGGGTGATGCTCGTCACCAAGCTGGTGACGCTTGTCACCCACCAAGGAAGGAGGTCGTGGCTTGTTTTTAAAAGATTGGGAAGAAATTGCAGTTTTGGCCCAAAAGTTCCAGTATTTACAAAAAGACCCCAGATCGTGTTTTAGCTTGTATATTAGGTTTTTCAGCCATTCTTTTGGCATATATCTTGTATCTTATTATTTTGGAGAGCTTTAGAGAGAGATTTGTAGAAGAGCTTTTGGAGAGACAAATCAGACTCCTTCAGAGCAGATTTTGAACTCCTTTATTTCTACTTCTTATTTCTTTTATGCAATCTATTCTTTTCATGATGTTTTCTCATAATCATGTCTGAGTAATCTGCTAGTTAAGTTAGGGCTTTTCAAAGCTTGAAGAAGAGTTTGTAGAATTGCTAAAAACTTCTAGGAAATTCATTGGTTCTTCATCTGTGCTTGCATTCATATCGATTTCTTAGACACATCATCTGGATTTCGAAACCCTAGGTTTTTGATAGATGTGAGAGCATTATTAATCACCTGAACTAGTATTAGATGAGCAAAACGCCCTAGTACAAAGAGATTTGGCTTAGGATTTTTGTGAACAATTGAACCTGATCATTACTGCATGTTTAGGTTGTTAGGGTTTGCAAAGAGATTTGAAACTCTGTGATTTAGACATAGATAGCTTCTGCAATGAGAATTGATTAGTTATATCTTTGCGATTCATGTTCAAGACGGTTTTAATTCATTCCTGATTGCATGCATTCTACATTCTCAGATTCAACCTGCGAACTGTCCTGACTTAGCGCCTTTAGCCATCTGAACTTTAAGAACAAGCATAAAAACGCCCTCTTGCATTTATTTTACTGTTTTGCATTACATTCATTATTTATCGCTTAGCTTAATCTGAATCTATAATCGCTAGTGTGATTTACATACTCCCTTGGGATTCGATAACCCCTTGTACTACAACTGCTTTTGTTGTGCACTTGCAGTAGTTTTATTTGGGTAAAACCTGACCCTATCAAGTTTTTGGCGCCGTTGCCGGGGAGTAATAGCTGCCTATCGATTTTTAGTATTAGGATTTTGTCTAAGTTTTTATTTGTTTACTGATTTTCAGCTACTTTTCTTTGTTCCTGTTTCAGGTGTATGCCTAATCGCAGAACCAGAAGCAACAAAGAGAAGGAGCTTGTGACTTTGAGCATCGACGAGCTTGCTAGGTTAGAGAGAACTAACAGGAAAGCTAAGAAGCAATCTACAATGGTCGCTCCACTGATCTTGGTTGAAGATGCAGAAGGTCACTTGGTTGACAGGGAAGGAAATACGAGGAACGAAGAGGGGCAGAGAATTGATCAAGAGGGGAATGTCATTGTTGAACAGCAGGTTCAGCAAGTGGCTGAGAACGTGGGAGTCCCTGCTGCTGTCAATAACGCTGCTGGGCGTTTTGTTCAGAGGACGCTAGGTGACTTCAACAGACCTGATCAGTTCTATGCCAACAGAGCTGCAATCCGACCTCCTGCCTTCCAGAGGAACGATTTTGAGGTCAAACCTGTCTACTATCAGCTGGTTGGCCAGCATCCATTCCATGGCTTACCTCATGAGCATCCTATGGATCACATTGAGAGGTTTGAGGATCTGGCTTCAAGTGTCAAAGCTACTGGAGTCAGCAATGACTTTCTGTTCTACAAGCTTTTCCCTTACTCTCTTGGAGGAGAGGCTGCATATTGGCTGAAGCAACTGGAGCCTGGTTCATTAACTACTTGGGAGGAAACCAAGAACGCCTTTCTGAACAACTTCTATGATGATGCAAGATCAGAAGACATGAGGACGAAAATTGCATCCTTTACACAAGGCCCTACTGAAGCTTTTAAGGCTTCTTGGATCAGGTTCAAGTCTTATCAAAGGGACTGCCCTCATCATGGTTTCAATCAAGTGCAACTGCTTGGTATCTTCTTCAGAGGCATTGACTGGAAATATCAGATGGCGCTGGATGCAGCAAGTGCAGGAAACTTCAACACCAACAGACCAGAGGAGGCGGTGAGATTGATTGAAAACTTGGCCTGCAGTAACAGCACTAAGAATGCAGATTTTCAGAGAAAGCAGCAGGCTGGTTTGAATGATGGAAACCAAATAGCTGAAGTTAAGGCTAAGTTAGACAGCATGCACAGCCTTCTGGTGGGAAAGAAGTCAGTTCAGTTTGCTGCAGAAGTGGAGAGTTTCGAAAATCCTGAAGAATTTGAGCAGAAAGATGTTAATTTCATCAATGGAGGGGGTTTTCAGAGCCAAAGGTTTGGAAATCAGCAATGGATCAGAGGCTACAACAGCAATAATCAGCAGAGTACCTTTACAGGAGGACAGAGCACGCCTGGTTACACTCCTAAGCCCCCATTCCAGAAGACTGAAGTTGAGAAACCTTACCAAAACAGCAGGAATTATGGTTCTTCTTCCTACCAAACTGCACCTCCACAAGACAATAAAATGGAAGCTATGCTGGAGCAGGTACTTGAAGGACAGCAGAAGATGACAGTGAACTTCAATGGCAAGCTAGATTCGCTGTATCAAGACCTGAATGGAAAAATTGAGAGTCTGAACTCTCACATGAAGAAGCTTGATGTGCAGGTTGCTCAAACTGCAGGAGCTGTTCAAAGGCAAGAGGGATTCCTTCCTGGAAGGACTGATATCAATCCCAAGCATCAGGTTAATGCCATCACAGTCAGGAATGAAAAGGAGCTTAAAACAGTGCAGAAAAAGAGGTTGAGTGCAGAACAGATCATGCAACTCATGGAGTCTGAAGATGAAATTTTTTCTGTCTCAGAGGTGAGTGACGAGCGTCACCAAGGAGGAGTGACGCTCGTCACCAACATAGAAGAGAATCGGGGGTTGTCACAGGTGAGTGACGAGCGTCACCCACCTGGTGACGGTCGTCACCCACCCCAGAACGAAGCTGCTTCGCCTGTAACTGCAAATTATGACCAGGAACGTGTCTATAAACCCAAAACACCATTCCCTAAGCATCCTAGGAAGTCTAAACAAGAGATAGAAGAAGCCAGATGTAAAGCTATGATAGACAAGCTGATGCTTGAGATCCCTCTTGTTGATGCAGTCAAGCTTTCACCAGCTCTAAGAAGGTATGTTAAGAGAATGGTTGTGAATGGTGTAAGTCCTGAGGAAGGAGCATTGCTTACCAGAGACATCAGTGCAATTCTTTTAGGCACAGTTCCAAAGAATAAGAAGAAGGTGACTGTTTCTGAACAAGTCGATACCATCACTCAAAGCAGAGTTCCAGAGAAGCTATCTGATCCAGGGACCTTTGTGCTTGATTGCTCAATATATGCAGGACGTTTTCCCCACTCTCTATGTGATCTAGGGTCAAGTATTAACTTGATGCCTTTCTCTGTTGCTGCTGGACTTGGAATGACTGATTTCAAGCCAGCTGGGATCTCTCTCATCCTAGCAGATCGATCCATAAGGACCCCAGAAGGCATATTAGAGAATGTTCATGTTAACATTAAAGACTGCATAATTCCTACAGATTTTGTGGTTCTGAAATATGCTGAAGAACCTAAAGATCCTCTTATTCTGGGAAGACCATTCTTGGCTACTGCTGGAGCCATCATTGATGTTAGAAAGGGGAACATTGAGCTTGATCTTGCTGATGTTGTCATGAACTTTGACATGGATAAGTTAAGAAAGAGTTCTATCATTGATGGTCAGACCTATTCTGTAAGAACTTCCAGAGATGAAGAGACTGTCATGGAGCATTCAGAAGACACTATTGCTGAGTGTGTCAATGAATCAGATATTAGTAGGCAAGTGAGCAAGATGGCTGTTGAAGAGCCAATATCTAAACTTCTGCAGAAGCTGTTGGGTTTGAGGATTGCAGTGAGGATCATATCTTCATGACTAGGCTTGAAAAAGAGGTTCTAATGAATGCCAAGTTGCTGGATGAAGACGTGTATGTGATGGAAGCAACACTTGCAGAGCTGAATTGCAGGAAAACTGCAGAAACTCGAACTGCAGAGTCAGTGACGAGCGTCACTGACCTGGTGACGCTCGTCACCAACCTGAACACAAAGCAGCAACGTGATTTTACAGCTACAAGTCCATCATATGTTACCAATCCGAAAATTCAACAGTCCACAACCCAGAAACCTGCAACTAAGCAAAGAAAGCTTGGTGTTTCTTTTGATGATTCTGCAGGAAAACGAAATGTCCCACCCACAGTCACGACCCACCCTGCTGATGTTCCTCACTTCCTTGGAAGTGTTCATACATCTACTGCTTACAAACCACCATGGATGAGAAGACATTCTTCTCCAAGGCATTCAATGCCACCTTCTGTTCCACCAGCTGTCTGAGCAGCATTCAAAGTCGAGCTAATGACTTTAAACAAGCGCTTAGTGGGAGGCAACCCACTAGTAAGTTTTCTTTTTCATATTTTAGTTTAGTTTTCTATTACATAGCTAAAAAAAAACCCAAAAACATGAAAAAAAAAAAGGAGAGTCAGTTTGTCAGTTTGCTTGGATGATGTCTTGTGAACTTGTTGGACCATGGATTATGCTTTGTTTGGATGTTTTGATGTGTGTTTTGAGTGCTCTTACAGTTTGACTTCGGAGTACACATGATGGCATAGCATTTAAACATCCAACATGTCGATTCTGGAGTATCAGAGATGGTGACGCTCGTCACCAGCTCCTTCGCGAGGTACCACTTTTCCACCTTAGTTTTACACGTTCTCATGCTTCATTTTGACCAACTCTTGGCTTAATAACACTGGGGACAGTGTTGTTTAAGTCTGGGGGAGGTGGTTACTGACGTTGTGTGCTTTGTGTCATGTTTATAGAATCTTAAAGTTGAGTAAAAAACCTGTTTTTCTAGAGTCAAAAAATTTGAAACTGTTAGTTTTTCTTGGAACTAGCCATAGGACGTTTTTGCTGATAAGAACCATTACCACAGTAGTTGACTACAAGTCTTACTAAGTTGAAAGTCATAGGTAGATCAGTCTAGCAATGAAGGTTTAGATTCTTAGAGAATCTGGAAAATTTGCTGTTAGCTCCACCTTAATGGACTTTAAATTTCTTGTCTTGGTGATTGATTCTTATTGATCTTGATTCTCTCTTTAAGCACTGACAATAAGGTTAAAATACAATCTCTCTTTGATCTTCCCTGATGTAGTTTTTAAAAGTTTAAGTTTAAAGAATGGTGCATTCATGACCCTGTCTCCTCACAAGGAACAACAGTAGTGAACACACTCAAGAACTTGTCTCCTCACAAGGAACACAAGTATTGAGTAGCACCATATCTTAGACTGTAAAAGTTGAGAAAAAAAGAAGTGAAAAATCAAAAATATCCTAAGGAAAAAGATTAAGGGAAGAGAAAATAGGAGAGCTGTGTTGAGATTGATTTGTTCAGTTGTTAGGAAGGGAAAAGAATCTGTAAAGTGATTAAGATGATAGAGCTTTGATGAGATTTCACACTTAGATAAAAAAATAAGGAGTTAACAGTAGAAATTTCGGATTTCTTGAAGGGATTTGGACTGGACTTGAGAGATTTGCTAAGCTTGTGATGATTAGACTGAAATTTGATCTTGTGTTGACTATGTGGTATGTGGATTCGAAAGCTCTAACTAGTATGGTGTTCCTGATGACTGACTGACTGTTTCTTGTTTTCAAACCTCGACCTTATTCTTTGTCTGATGTTTGCTTGAGGGCAAGCAAAAGCTAAGTCTGGGGGAGTTGATATATCATGGTTTTTATGGTTTTTAACCATGATATAAGTTCTTTTTATTGAGTCTTTTTGGTCTTTTTAGAGTCCTAGAAGAGTTTTTGCAGGTTATAGCATGTCTGGAGCATAATTGGAGATTTTGGAACCTTTTGGAGCATTCTGAGTGGAAGCCACGAAGTACCAAGCTCGAAGAGGAAAGTATGCATATGGGTGATGCTCGTCACCAAGCTGGTGACGCTCGTCACCCACCAAGGAAGGAGGTCGTGGCTTGTTTTTAAAAGATTAGGAAGAAATTGCAGTTTTGGCCCAAAAGTTCCAGTATTTACAAAAAGACCCCAGATCGTGTTTTAGCTTGTATATTAGGTTTTTCAGCCATTCTTTTGGCATATATCTTGTATCTTATTATTTTGGAGATCTTTAGAGAGAGATTTGTAGTAGTTTTATTTCGCCAAAAAAATTTTCATACGAAAAAAAAATGTACGTATTATGTTGTTCTTGTATAGTTTGGTCCCCCTCATCTAGTCAAGTGGTGGGATGAGGCCGTGATGGAGGAATTTCAAGAGCTACGATGTGCCCTGGACAACCAAGGAGACAGTATTCGTATCCTCCAAAATGGTGATGGACAGGAAGCACATAATCGGATTGAGGCAGAGCTAGCTCAACTAAAAGAGCTAATTGTAGACAAGAAGCATTTGAGATGCCTCGAGCTGAGGAATGTGATTGTTCTTTCTCAACTCTTTGTAGTTTTGATCATCTGCCTTTGTGCTAGCTTGAGTAGATCTTAGTATATCATCGTATCTTTTGAAATTCATCTACACGAATGTTCCCTATTTAGACTTCTCTTGTAGACTTCAATTGTAGACGTCTAAAGAAGTCTGCAATTCGAATAAAACCAAGCGGGAATACCAAAATTATTCAACTTATTGGGCAGAAACCAGATAAATCCGTAATAAACTGGCGCGAATCACAATCAAACCAAGTAAGTAGACTTCTCCTGTAGACTTCTATTGTAGACGTCTAAAGAAGTCTGCAATTCGAATAAAACCAAGCGGGAATACCAAAATTATTCAACTTATTGGGCGGGAACCACATAAATCTGGAATAAACCGGCGCGAATCACAATCAAACCAAGTAAGTAGACTTCTATTGTAGACGTCTAAAAAAGTCTGCAATTCGAATAAAACCAAGCGGGAATACCAAAATTATTCAACTTATTGGGCGGGAACCAGATAAATCCGTAATAAACCAATGCGAATCACAATCAAACCAAGTAAGTAGACTTCTATTGTAGACGTCTAAAGAAGTCTACAATTCGAATAAAACCAAGCGGGAATACCAAAATTATTCAACTTATTGGGCGGGAACCAGATAAATCTGGAATAAACCGGCGCGAATCATAATCGAACTAAGTAAGTAGACTTTTCTTGTAGACTTCTATTGTAGACGTCTAAAGAAGTCTGCAATTCGAATAAAACCAAGGGGGAATACCAAAATTATTCAACTTATTGGGCGGGAACCAGATAAATCCGGAATAAACCGGCGCAAATCACAATCGAACCAAGTAAGTAGACTTCTCTTGTAGACTTCTATTGTAGACGTCTAAAGAAGTCTGCAATTCGAATAAAACCAAGCGGGAATACCAAAATTATTCAACTTATTGGGCAGGAACCAGATAAATCCAGAATAAACCGGTGCGAATCAGTAGACTTCTCTTGCAGACGTCTACAGAAGTCTGCTATTCAAATTAAACCAAGCCGAAAATAAGAAATTTGCCCGGAACCAGAATTTACCGGACCAGTTTATTGGTAAATTGAACAATCTAACCGACATATATATATGGTTTACCGTATAGAGAATTTACTCTCTAACAAACCCTAATTTTATTTAGATCTTCGAAGCCTCTCTCACAGTCGTCATTTTTATCGCCTCTACACGATCTCCGTCGTTGTCGCCACCACCTCTTCACATCGTCGCCGCTGGTAACCTTTGTTCTCTCTCCCACTCACCAGATCTCTTACCTATTATCTGTTCCTTTATTTTAATCAATTTTTATTTATCTCTTATCTTCTCGTCGTTGTTTTTATGTTGTTGCTGCCGCTTTTGCAATCTTACCTATTCACTCGTCACGGTCATCGCCGGTAATATTTCTTCATCCCCCATTCTGTATGTCATATATTTTAATTTCGTCTTCAAAATTTGAGTTTTTTTTTTGGTTTTACAGATCTTCCCTTGGTTGTCTCCGTTGGCTTTGTTGTGGTTTCAGTTATTTCAGGATTCGAAAAAAGGTAAGCTTATGTTGTACCTAAATTTTTATGTGGAGTTCCTAAGCAGACTTCATTGTAGACTTCCTAAGCAGACTTCATTCATAGACTTCCCATTCAGATTTCAGTCACATATACATTAATTATTACATGTTTGCGCGGGCTCTCCTATTTGTTTAGCAGGATGGAGAAGCCCCAATTCCCAAAAAGATTATACACAAAGGGAGATGAGCCTCTGCCAGCTAAAAGCATAGGCTACTACAGTAATGACTCGAAGCTGTTTCCTGCCATGGAAGCAGTACTGAGAACTGATGAATGGGAAGAGCTGCTGGAATCAAAGCTGGGCATATTTCTAAAATTCTACAAACTGAACTTTTGGTGGGGATCGAGGGTGGTTCACTTCCTACTCGGTTTTCAGCTTCAATGCAAGAACAAGTACGAGATATGGACTTTGATCGGTGTAAACCTATTGAGGTTCTCACTAAATGAGTTTGAAGCCCTGACTAGTCTCAACTGTGAGTACATAGCAGATCTGGAGGATCCACAAGCTGATGTCACTCCTGATACGAGAGAATTTTGGGAGAAGCTTGGCGTTAATGTAGAGGTTGGTCCCAGTATTGAATATCTTACAGAAGCATGTAAGTATGCTGGAGCATGGACAAGGGAGGATAGGCTTCGGTTAGGATATTTATCCATCTATGCTGGATTCATTGAGGGACGCAGAAGGGACTCACCCACACGGGCTAAACTGGCAAGGCTAGTCATGGATTTAGAGGCTTTTGAAAATTACCCGTGGGGAAGAGTGGCTTTCAAGACTGTCATCGATTCAGTGAAACAAGCAAATTTGACCAAAGCATATACGCTTTCGGGGTTTGCTGAAGTGCTACAAGTCTGGGTGTATTATGCTATGCCAGAATTTGGAGCTGAGTACGGCAATCCCTTTCCCTACAACCCAACTCCACCGGTTCTGGGTTACGGCAGTTGCCGAGGACGAAAGTACATCAAAGAGGCTCTGCTTAAACAGGTAAAACTGCATTCGATTCACATTATTCTGAAGACTTTTTGCATAGACTTCTCGTGTAGACTTCTGGTGTAGCCTTCTTATGTAGACTTCTGGTGTAGACTTCTTATGTAGACTTCTTGTTTAGTCTTCTTCTGTAGACTTCATTCTGTAGACTTATTATGTAGACTTCGTGTGTAGTCATCTTGTGTAGGCTTCTTTTGTCTTACTAATATCACCTAAATTATGACAGGTTAGTTTCAACAATTTTACTGTGAAGGCGATGGAGGATATGTTCCCAACTTGGGATGATGAGGTAGATGATGTCCCGATCGGGAATATTTTGAAAGCAATGTCTGGGGAGTTTAGTGTTGATGGTTGGAAGTGGAAGTCAAGTGATTGGCGGGTCCATGGTGTTTTAAAGTCGAGCAATGTCAAGTCGGAGGCCACATGGGGCAAGAAAAGAAGCGTCGAATCTGATGATGAAAGCCGGAAGACGTCGTGTGCAGTTGATACTCCTTCAATTGACGAGGATAGTTTGAAGACTCTGGTGGAGATGATTAAAAAATAAATCCAAGCCTCCTGCTCAGCATTGTCTGTGGAATTGCAGCTTGGGTTTGAGGCGTGCAATTTGCAGTTGAAGGCCCTTACTGGCAAGGTCGTGGCTGTGGAGGAAACCATTGCGAAGATGAAGGACCCGAAGAATGCAGAGCAGGTGAAGTCTAACGACGACACCCGTAAAGAAGATCCACCTGCTGGTCGGTTTAGTTCCGATCCCCCTACATACCTTCTAAAAGGCCTCCCTCTACTAGGGCAAGAACTAAGCCTAAGAAGTAGACTTTAATCAAACAAATTCATTTTTTTGTACCCCGCAGAACCTTTTAATTTTAGTAATTGTACTTGTATTTTGTGATGTTTGTACTTCTTGAAAATTATTAAAGCCTCTTATGTTTTTTTCCTTCTTTGAATTGACATCTTAATAATGCTTACTTGCAGAAAAAACAACCAGATCCATGTGAAAGTGAGAACCAAGAGAAAGAACCAAGTCTCGTATATCTAGGAAACTTTCCACGAACCAAAAAAGATGTGGATAATCAGTTAAATAAACAAGAGACGCAGAATAGGGCAGCAGAAATTGTGGCAAGAGCTAAAGGCGATAGGATAAGGAGGCTATCTGCTTGCTATCAACATGTTGCTCCCGTTGTGGGAAAACCAGTCGGTGGATATGATCCTCTTGCTCCCGTCGACACGGAGAAGAGTAAAGCTTTACAAGATTGGCTGAAACATCTTCCGTAAGTCCTCACTATCGAAACAAGTTCTATGAAGTCTACATATTCAGTAATTTTGTCAAGATGTATGAGTATTGTCAACTCATGTCTATGCAGAAATTGGCCAAAAAGGGACCCTACGAAGCAACCGTTGAACCACTGGTGGTGGCTTCTGAGAACCCCATTGCAGTGGCTGCAAGACACGGTAAGACTTTTGATTTTTATTTTTGTGTAGACTTCTAACGTAGACTTCTTACATAGACTTCTCGTGTAGACTTATTCTCTATTTATTTGTGGCTGCAGCATATGGATGCCATCATGAACTTGCTGAGGCACCGGATGTCGAAACATCCGGAATGGTTTAGGAGTGACCATATTTGCCTGCTTGATGCATTAATGGGATTGATGTGGAGTAACAAATACAAAGAGTTCGTCGATAGTACACTGAATCCAGATGGCTCAGGTAGACAGCTGCCAGCTGGTGCGTTTGATTATTACAACGGCGAGGCACCACAATTCTGCAAAACGGACAAGACATGGGGGCTCCAGATTGATGACATATACATGCCATTAAACGTTAAAGGGGATCATTGGATTGCTCTTTGTATATCGATACCTTCTAGGCACATTGTCATTTGGGACAGCCTCCACATTCATGCTAGTTCTGAAGAGATAGCTTCAGCAGTGGAGCCTATTGCAGTCACGCTGCCATATCTTCTTCGAGAAGTGGCTTCCCCCGAAGATAAAGAGAAGTTAACATATGAGCGTTTCACACACACAAGGATGGAAGCTGATGTAGTGCCACAACAAGATGGTGGTGGTGATTGTGGAGTTTATTGCCTAAAGTTCATTGAGTATCATGCACTTGGGCTGTCATTTCCGTCGACATTTACTGCTGACAATATGAAGAGGAGCAGACTGAGCTTTGCGAGTGGATTATTTAACGAGATCGACTTCCGCGTGCCTGATAAACAAGACTGGGCGTATTTGGACGTCTATGAAGGAGTATGACATCTTCCATGTGTATCTCGTAATTAGAACTAATGTATGGTGCGTAAGTTTTTTGTACACCACCAACTAATGTAACTCAGTTGTACCTGTGGTAGGAAGTTTTTTGTTGTAAGTCAGATAACATTGGCAGATTCGGTAATATAACAAGTATTTAGCACTAAGTAGACATATTT